CATACACTGAAGATAAATGCAATTATTGAAAGTGAAATAGCTGTGTGTTAGAATGAGTTGTGTAACATCCTCACTACTGTATTTGTGGTTTAGTGAGGATGATAAGAATCTGTGACATACAGCAATCCCATCCTTGTGAGGGATGATGCTATACAAAGATTCTACATCCATAGAAGTGTAATTGGAGGTAATTGCTCTATATTGTGTAGTTTGTTCAGAAAATCAGTTGTATCTAGCAGGAAACTAACAGTATTTCTGACTTGTGGTTTTAGCACTTTCTTTACAGGGCCTGAGATTTGTTCAGTGACTGTATTCATACTGCCTGTGATAGGTCTGTTTGGATTTCCTGTCCATGGCTCTTGGGAAGCATATAGAAATTCCTCATTTCTGAATTATCTGAAATTGCATTACTAAGTTCAGAATGTAGGGTTGGTAGTTTTTTGTTGATTCTAAGTGTTTCTAAAGGCTTTTTCAAAAATAGCAAACATGTTATACTTATCTGCTCTGTACAATTGTTTTACATAGAGTTGCCCCGATCTTCCTCTTCTGGGGTCCCCCATCGGCTCCTCCTGCCTTCTGAGGGCCCCAATGGCAAGCCGCTTGCTAAAAGGGCACTAGCCCAGCCTCTACCACAAGCCATACAGTACTGTGTGCGTCTGTTGACATACACAGTGGGAATCAGGCCCACCCCCACTACCTCGTCAAAGGATTTGATTGACAGCAGCAGGAGCCAAGCCTCCTGTGAGAGGGGAGAGAAGAGCAACGCTACTGAATCGATATCGGATTGGCGGGATGGAGTTAACATTGAAAGATTTTTCGGCGAATGCATTAAGGTAAAAAACCTTTTACCTTTACAACCACTTTAAACCACTTTAAATCATGGGTGTATGATAATTATTTTTTTTATTGTACATAACAGCTGCTTGCTTCCCTTCTGTATGTATTTGTTTGTATCCATCACAACAACTGCACCTAGCGTATATCTGCTGGTTTAATGGTGACTGACTGTTGAGTAGCTCCTGCATAGCCTTTTGCTCCAGTGGTAAACGATTGTACACAATTTGCTCGGTGGATGTCAGGAATAGTAACTCACAGTCTGCAGCTGTTACTATAGGTGTCTACTTTGGGCACATCTATATTAATCTATTTTTATATTATTTTAACCATTTGCCGACCGCAGGTAGCCGAATGACGGTTGCACTGCAGCCGGCCAGTTCTGGGAGGCAGTCATAAGACGTCCTACCAGAACGCGCTCTCCTGCGCGCCCCCGGTGATCTCCATGATCGCTGTGTCCTATGGACACAGCTGATCGTGTGATATGGTAAAATGCCAATCACAGCGGCCTTTTACCATGTAATCAGCTGTGTTCATTGACACACTGATCACCGGGAAATGCAATTGCCGGTTCTCAGCTGCACTTTCCTCACGCTGTCAGAGCAGAGATTGGCACCAATCATCAGGGCACTGATGATCAGTGCCCAGTAGTGCCACCCACCAGTTCCGCCCACAAGTGCCCATCAGTGCCACCCACCTGCACCCAGCAGTGCCACCCACCTGTGTTCATCAGTGCCACCTACCTGTGCCCATCAGTGCCACCCACCAGTGCCACCCACCTGTGCCCATCAGTGCCCACCAGTGTTACCCATCAGTGCAGCCCAGCAGTGCCGCCAGTCAGTGCCACCCAGCAGTGCCGCCAGTCAGTTCCACCCAGCAGTGCCCCCAGTCAGTACCCAGCAGTGCTGCCAGTCAGTGCCCACCAGTGCCACCAGTCAGTGCCACCTATCAGTGCCGACTATCAGTACCCATCATCAGTGCCAGCTCATCTGTGCCGCATATTAGTGCCGCATATCAGTGCCACCTATTAGTGCTGCCTATCAGTGCCACCTATCCGTGCCACCTCATTAAATGCTGCACAGCAGTGTCGCCTATCAGTGTCCATCAGTGCTGCCTATTAGTGCAACCTCATCAAAGCACATCAGTGAAGAAGAAAAATTACCTGTTTGCAAAATGTTATAATAGAAACAAAGAAAAACATTTTTTTCAAATTTTTTGCTTTTTTTTGTTCATAGCACAAAAAGTAAAACACCCAGCAGCGAGTAAATACCACCAAAAGAAAGCTCAATTTGTGAGAAAAAAATGATAAAAACTTCATATGAGTAAAATGTTGCATGACTGCGCAATTGTCATTCAAAGTGTGACAGCTCTGAAAGCTGAAAATTGGCCTGGTAAGTGGGTATAAATGTCTGGTAGGCAAGTGGTTAAAGCAATATCCCAATTTTAAATCAGACCAGTTGAATACTACATATAAGATAAAGAAACCTTCTAGAATTTTTATTTTAAAGGCTGCATGTAAAATAATATGAATGTATAGTATCAAGTCTACCCTATAGCAACGCATACAAAATAATGGCATGAACAGAACAATACATTGTAATAATATAGTAAGGTCTATCCCTATGCTAAGAGCACTATTATTTATTTCAGGTACTTATATAGTGCCGTCAATTTACACAGCGCTTTACATATATATTGCACATTCACATCAGTCCCTAGCCCTCAAGGGGTGTACAATCTAAGGTCCCCAACTCACATTCATACATACACATACTAGGGCCAATTTAGACAGGAGCCAATTCACCTACCAGCATGTCTTTGGACTCTAGGAGGAAACTGGAGTACCCAGAGGAAACCCACACAGGCACAGGGAGAACATGCAAACTCCAGGCAGGCAGTGCCATGGTTGGGATTTGAACCAATGACCCTAGTACTGCCAGGCAGAAGTGCTAACCATTTAGCCACTGTGCTGTCCACTAGTACTATATTATTGCCGTGCAGGAATATATTTACGTATGAATAATAAAATAACTATGTTCCAGTTTAGCATTTATACATACATCAATATTTTACATGTTCATCAATGTTTTACAATATTCAATTGTGTATGATAATTTTTGTTAAGGGCTCAATAAGACTTTTTTAAAAGGGCCTTTAATTGGCTGTCAATGCATTAGAATGGACAAAAGAATCTAACATGCACTATTTTTGCTGATGCAGTTCAACACATTGTGCATCGGTACGCTAAGCATTGTGCTGTGCTGCAACACGTGTTTCAGAGGTTTGTTGCATTGGTGTGTTGGAATGGCATAGAAAATATGTAGCTTCACAATGTACTAACACATGTATAGTTCATTAACATGCATTGCACCAAAAACTGACAGGTGTAAAAATGCCCTTAGAGGTAGGTTATTTACCCATACAATACATTTAAGATCAGCCTCCTGAGTTCTGCTTTGTTGCTGTACACATTATATAATGAATTGGGAAACTATGTTCTGTCTTGTATCATATGAAAATGATCTACCTTATGTAAAATGTTCATATGTGACAAAGACAGTGCTTAAGACAGCTGAATTGTTTTTTTATTTGTTCAATCACTTGACAAATGCATGGTTAGCTTACTTATTTGACAAAATATATGACACTGCAGAACACTAACTTGTTGTTATGAGGACTAAAATGACATATATAGGTATTGATTTGAATCTCAGAACCAACTCGCTCCACAGCATCCAAACTGCATAGAATCCGATATTCAACACAAATGCTAAACTCCAGGATCATTATGGGGAATAAGAGGAACAATTAAATGATGCCCTCACAGGTAGGCAGATTTCTAAGATTTTCAATTTCTTTATCAGCAAGACAGAAACAACTGGGCAGGACGTATTGCAGGATGTGGGCCATTCATAGGCAATTTAGATCTGGACAGTAATTGACCCATGTATAAATCTCTCACTCACCAACAGTTAACCTGGCCATACACCAGCAGAATTTCATTTGGAAATTTTTATTTTCTGAACATTCATTTACTTTTCTAATATCTAGTGAAATCAACCTTTTTTTCAACTCCAGTTACAGGAAAGCTGGAACTGTGAATGTGGTTTTCTTTCATGAAAAATCATACATATTCTAATAATAAAACTTTTTTTTAAGATGCTTGTGGTTTAAATAGCATGCATGTGTGAAATTTTAAGAGCTTCAATTGAAATTAGTTGAAATTGAAAAAAGAAGGTTCTGACTTACAATTTTTCAGAATTTCCATATGAATGTTTCAACATAAATCTAACCATGTAAGGTCAGTTTAGGTCACTTTTAGATCTGAAGGCCACTGTGAAGTTGAACAGTTATGTTCAGTTGCTAGTATCTTGAGCAAGCTCAGGTAGCTGCACACTATTTCAGTGCAGAACATTTTCTTTGGATGTTACATAGGGAAAGGATCAAGAAATAGATAAAAGGTATATATAAACAACATATATAATGAATGCCTAAAGAAAAAAAAATCTTTGTAGAAGATGGGACATACAAAGCTTAAATTGTAGAACTGGCTCTCGTTACCCAGAGTAACAATTTTCATTTCTGCACAGGGCAGTAGTCTTCAAAGACTTGAAGCACTCACATGAGTTATGTAAAGTTATTGAAATTCTGACAAAGACAATTTTCCTGAAGGAGAACGGAGCTACAGAGAAAGAGCCATCTTAAGTTGATTAAAATGACTTTAGATACGAAGTAACAGCAAGGGATTTGGAAACTTATCTTCATATGGCGGCAAAGAATAATTTCACTGCATGCAGCGATAAAAAGATTGATTGATATATAAAAGAGTTACTATGAAGGGATTACTTATATAAGCAAATATATGGTCCTATTTACATAGAGTATTATTGCACAAGCCCCGGAGAAAATTATCTTTCTTTAATGGAACTTATTTAAAGCTCATCGGCTTCAAAATTAATTTTCCTTAAATAGTGAAAAGAAAGGAATTTGAGAAAGGCTATTAACATTGTGATTTGACTACATTTTTCATTGAATTCTTTGGTTTAAAAAAAAAGTGAATTTAGAACAATGAAAGTTTTCTCTGACTTTTACCCTGTAGTCATTTGCAGTAGAACAAGACAGACAAAAATTAACAAAAATTGTACACGTCCGGAAGCATGTAGAGTCACGCACAGGGAAACTGGGAGATCATTTGGAAACTCGGGCACTGCCTGAGAGCCCGGGGTCAGTAGGGGGCCCCATGAGATGCCCCTGGTACCTTTTTCATAGGCTTTTTTGAGTTTGGGCAAGGACACAGGGGCCCCATGATCCCCTATTGCCCGGGGGGGCCCCATGAGTTGTCAGTCCACCCCTAGTCAAGCATAGGTTATATATCGCAGCAAATTGCTACTCATGAGGTAGGTAAGCACATTTAAGGTATCCCCCATGTGTGAGTCTAGGAATTCTGGGGAACTGGTATTCCAAAAAGGACTCTAGTGCACTTAAAAGCTTAAAACAAAAACCTGGCCAATAAGGTCGTGCTAAACTTGGGGGCCGGGTCCTATTGGATCAGTGTGGCAGTCTATATGAACATGTTCATCCCATTCCATTCACTGCATAAGTCCATTCACTGCATAAGTCCTCATATGGAATGTGGCAGAGACTGGAGACAACAATTAATCATGTATGATGTTGGACCGTTATATGAATGAATACTGAGCAGCGTCATTAGACGGCAAGTGTCCAGCAATACATATTATTGGTATGGAATAAATATGGACAGCATTAGCTGGGAAGATGTGACCAATATTATATGGTACAACATGACCTATTTGCTCTGCGTTGGTCTTATGTTTTTGAGGACCTTCACTGCTTCCCAGTGGGGGCGGCACATACATTACCGTGTTCCAATTGTCCAAAGCGCTTCCTAAAGTTCACGGTATGATGTGTCACGTGACTCAACTTTTTTTCCACATGGGAACTCTGTGGTGATGGCGTCTCGGAAGGTTGGAGGACACAATTGGAGACACTTGGTATGCATGGAACCTTAAGGAGCAGCTGCCATTTCAGCACATGGATTGGCCTGATAACGTGAACTTTAGGAAGCGCTTTGGACAAAGCACGGTAATGTACGTGCCGCCCCCACTGGGAAGCAGTGAAGATCCTCAAAGACATAAGACCATCTTACACTCCATACACATTAGGTCCTCAGGACCAGAAGAAACACGGAGCAAATAGGTCATGTCGTACCATATAATATTGGCCACATCTTCCCAGCTAATGCTGTCCATATTTATACCATACCAATAATAAGTATTGCTGGACACTTGCCGTCTAATGACACTGCTCAGTATTCATTCATATAACGGTCCACCATCATACATGACTGATTGTCTCCAGTCTCTGCCACATTCTATATGAGGACTTATGCAGTGAATGGAATTTACTTGATACCACATGAGTTACAATTATTCATTGGATGAACATTTTCATATAGACTGCCACACTGATCCAATAGGACCCGGCCCCTAAGTTTAGCACGACCTTATTGGCCAGAATATATTGAAGCTTTTCAGTGCACTTGAGTCCTTTTTGGAATACCGGGTCCTCAGAATTCCTAAACTCACACATGGGGGATACCTTAAATGTGATTACCTACCTCATGAGCAGCGATTTGCTGCGGTATGTAACCCATCCGTGACTCTACATGCGTCCGCACATATACAATTTTTGTTAATTTTTGTCTATCTTGTCCTTTTTGTTTATTCATGATCTTTATTTGTTGCAATCACAATTACAGCTGTTTGGTATCCACGTTTCTGTTTTAATCAAAACCTAGTAATAAAACTGTTTGTTTTATCATACTTTGTACTCAGGATTATTTTTGTGATACCTTAACCAAGTGAATACTTGTCAACAATGGTAACCAATTTGCCCTTTTTGGGGCAGTTTGTTTTTGTTAGCAATACACACTAAACTGAGCATGTGCAGAATGGCTATGCTTCAGTCTGTCTTATCAGGAGATAAGACATGGACATTTGAACAAGAGGAGGAGCAGCAAAGTCAGGATCAAATGGCTTTTCTACACAATGCAGAGGATTAACCTCTTAGGTTCCACAGTAAGTATAACAAACATGCTTTACTGAATATACAGACTGATTTTAGTGTTGTGGGTATAGTAACACTTTAAGACGTTATTCTAACTGTTGTGTGTTATGAGACAGCTTTGACTTCTGGCTGCATTACTATAACTTTTAATATTATGATTTATGCTGCTCATTAAATATAGTCAGGAACCCATACTTCTCGCAGCATTCTAAGCTGTCTAATTATTTAAAGAAATTATTCTACAAAGTGCCCTTACATATTTCAAAACAACCTTATTTCATAGAAGCGTTTCACCCAAATGTTTCCTTACTGTAACCAGATTTTTATAATATTCAACAGGTCACAGATTGCAGCAAGCATCTTGTTCACAATTCCAAATTATATCCTGAAAGAACTAGCAATTTGCCTAATAATACACTATTTCTTTGAAAATTGGTGTTTCTGCTCCAGTAATAACAGGATTTGCTGATCTGCCAAAATTGAAATGGATGTGTCCATATGGACAGCATCAATGACAGATTGTACAATAACATTCAAGCATTCTGCTTCCTCATCATATGTAAATTCCAGGTATGCTTGCATACTTGTAGAGTTCTTAATGTTGTGCGCAGGCAGCTCATTTTTGCTGAATGTATTTTATGTTCAATGGTTTGGAAAATTAAAGGGAACTTATTGGCAACCTGTATAATTTTATTAATGTTTGTTGGTCATAAATAGTGTAATTTTCTGTTTCTAAAATATGAAAATGACTGAGTATAAAGTAATATAGCATTGTCATTTTATTAATTTATTTTTTTAATGTGTGCACATCTGTAAGAGAAAATACAGCCATATGCAATCTTAAAAGGAAACTTGTCAAAATCAGGCAATAAAAACTGAGCTTTTGATTAAAGAAAACATAATCAGTAGAATTAAAGATATAAACAGGGCAGCACAGTGGTTAAATGGTTAGCACAGCTGCCTGGTAGCACTATGGTCGTTGGTTCAAATCCCAACCATGGCACCACCTTCCTGGAGTTTGCATGTTCTCCCGGTGCCTGCGTGGGTTTCCTCTGGGAACTCCAGTTTCCTCCCACACTCCAAAGACATGCTGGTAGGTTTATTGGATCCTGTATAAATTGCCCTAGTATGTGTATGTATGAATATAAGTTAGGGACCTTAGATTGTATGCCCCTTGAGGGTTAAGGACTGATGTATGAAGCACTGAATAAATTGACAGTGTTATATAAGTACCTGTAATAAATAGAAAAACTGTTATTTGAAAATATTAACCTTTCCCACAGCAGCTTGACCCTATCTCTTTTACGTCTCAGTGCTCCCTTTTGGTCAGTGAAGCTGCTCATCACATTAAAAGGCAGGCTGGGGAGAGGAAAATTAACAATAGTTCCAAATAAATGTCAGGACTAGGTTTTTCCAAAATCAAATGAAATTAGAGTATAGTGAAAGCATCTACAACATACCAAAATAAAAGAAATACATTTTAGAACCAAGAAAACAATCCTTGTGCCTGTTTGATAAAATATATACCTGCCTCTCCATTCCATCATTCTTCAGTGTGTAGTCCTGCATGGCGTTCTATGGCCTTTGAAGTTAAAATGTCCCACGGGGTCCTACTTTTGATGGGCACCACAACCTTATCCATTCCTATGGGTAAGTCATACTCAGTGCATCCTCCGGCCAACCAATGAATAGAGCAGTGGGCCATTTTCACTGCAAAGTCTATTGGTCACACAGTGACGATTACTGGAACAGGAAGGAAAGTATTTTACCAGGCAGGCTGTACTAATATGGGTGAGGAGACAGCTGTACAGAACATACAGTTGTCCTTTAAAAGAAACCTAAATTCTACAATAATTATATTATAAAAAATGTGATAAAATCCAGGAATAATATGATACAAGACTAAACACACACGTGTGCAGAACCTACTCTCCTGTCAGACTTGGAATGGTAAGTTAGCTTGCTTATTGTCCATCTAATATTTAGGTGCATGCATGTGAGAAGACTCTGACATTGGGAATATTAATGCATTCTCTGTTTAATAAACATTTCTATTGTTTTACAATGTGCTAAATGAAAATGAATAACTGTATCCAGGCCACAAAGATATGTTTTTATAGGAAGGAAATGATGGGAGCTGCTATGTTTTTTGAAAGAGAAAACCCCCAAGCTGTTATTACATCCTTCTTTTATTTTTAAAGTAAACCTGGCATAAGAGAACTATTGGAGACTGCCTTTGCTGACCTCCTTGTGGAAATGAACAGGATTGATATCTGTCAGCATCTAGCATCAGTGCTTTGAAATAGATGCCCATTTTTAGAACATACTAAAGGCATGTGGTTTATACCAGCATGGCGGAAGCCCACACGCTCATGGACCCCCAGTACATATACATGGTATTTTAATGATTTCTAAAGGATTTTTTATGTCAACATGAATGACAGCTTTGCCTGGAAAACCACTAATCCTCGCAGACACAGTCATTCTTTGGCTTGAGACTAGATGGTACACAAAGGAAAGCTTAAAGTAACACTAAACTCTGGTTTAAAAAAAACCTGTGTATTCTAACTTACAAAATGACCTTCTATTGTTCTTGGTCTTCTCCAACTCTTCAAATTCCTTTTTGTTTGCTGATATGATCTGACTTCCTGCTGAAGGGTGGCTATGTTTGTTTTCTATGATCCACTGTAGGTATGAATGTAGCCACCTACTCTCGCCTATTCCCCAGATGGACTAGGGACTATGGATTATGGAAATTGAAGTGTGCATAGAGCAGTGCATATGACCATGACTAACATGAATTATTAATTTCAAACTGATAGAAGTTAGAAATAGATGGAGATGTTCATGAAGGACATTATAAGGGGGCAGAAAAAACACACTTAAGCTGGCCATAGTTGGAGTTTTTTTTCATCGGCTAGCTGGGACTTCTCCACTGCCAGAATGCACTGATCAGCACTGCAGTTGATCACTAGATCAACTCCTCTTGAACAAGAATGGCCATACATGGATTGCAATTTATCTGGTTCCTGTTGAACAGGTCGAATTTTGATCCATGTATGGCCAGCTTAAGAAACATTTTCAAGACAAATAGATGACAGGGGCATTAAGTAGTGGATATTCATGGATTATTTCTGTAGAATAAGAATATTTTTTTAGTGTCACTTGGCACCAGGAAACATATCTGTTTTCCCATGTGTCATTTTAAAATAATGGCCATACTGCTGAACCTACAGTGGCCGTCAAGCTCCTTTTATTCAAATGATTAGGCTAACATTTGCTTTCTCTTGTTGCTATGGAAGTAATGACTAGTTTACTGCCATTATGTATTTTTTTTTAAGTAGTGGGTTGGGCTAGCATTAGGGCTATGGTTAAGTTAAGGCTAGGGCTATGGTCAGGCAAGCTATTAATCTAGTATTTACCTAGTAGACACTTGTTTGTTGTTGCATATACCCAAGATTAGTGCAGGAAATTACGAATGACATTTTTTTAGCTTAAACTGTAAATCAGCTCTTAAAATTACTTTCATTTTGGCCAATTGCTTGAAAAAAAAAATTCTATCTTAGGAACTAGAGCTCTGCATTCCCACAGGAAGAACAATGTATATGCGTTACAGAATCAGGTCGGGTTGCTATTTAAGTATCAAAGATTGTATCGTTTGGAATAAATTAAAAGCTTTCTGTCTTCACAATGCAGTAATGAGACTCCAAAGAAAAGGACCATATACTAATGAAATTATAAACTTGTATTGTGTAACAGTTTCAAATATAGTATTTTTTCATGAATGCAATGCATGCCAAAATGCATATTTTCCATTACAAAAGTAACACATAGCATAAACCTGTTTAAAACATGCCACTATACTGCAATGAATCTGTAAAATAGAGTGAGACAGAAATGTGACCTTTTTAGCAGATCGAAATGACCTCTCAGCTTATATTGCCAGGACTAGTGGAACTGAGGATTGCCTACAAACCTTTGAATTCAACATTTAGATGGAATTCTTTTTAAGGTGTGTATTTTTGGTTTCTTTTGCATAGAAATGAACAGCAAGCACTTGAGTTGGTGCAATCACTGCCAAAACAACATTAACAACAGAAGTACCATCATAGACACCCATTAATTCACACATTCCCACTTCTCCTACTTCTAGCTTCCTCAAGAAATACAGTACGCACAAGCTAGGCAACATATCCAAATAGGGCACAGTATTGTTTTTTTCCAGCCAAGAGTCTCATATTTTACTAAATTTATTTGGGCACCCATGCTCATCAAAGATAATTTTGTATTTGGTTAAGTTATTGTTGATAAGTTCAATTGCCATATTTTCATGCGGTGGTTGGAGTCTAGCCAATGCAGCAGAGTGACTTTATGGGCAAAGATAGTATCAGACAACACACAATCCTAGGACACTTTAAAGGAACATGGTCCTCAAGAATGTTCAGTAGAAATACTTCCAAACTTCAGAATAAATTTAAGTCACAGAATTACTTCAAGTAGGAAATACCGATGACCAATTTGAATTCTCAAACAGCTAAAGTAGATATGGCATATGTTAGCATTGTCATGGAAATTTGGAATGAGAGAAAAAACCCATCTTCTGTAAATAGTCTGAGGTACAGAAATCTCTGTGTGTAAACTTAACTGTATCAGTCAGGGGCGGACTGACCATTTGAGCACTCAGGCACTGCCCGAGGGCCCAGGGTCAGTAGGGGGCCCCATAAGATGCCCCTGATACCTTTCATAGGCTTTTTTTGGGTGTGGTTTGAGTGTTGGTGAGGACACGGGGGCCCCATGATTTCCTTTTGCCTGGGGGCCCCATGAGTTGTCAGTCCGCCCCTGGTATCAGTTTGTCCACCGTACTTATAACATTGGATAACAAAGTTCACTTGAGCTCTAGGCAGTCATCTCAGGACAGATTGGAAATGTATACTACCTATTTCTTATAAGAGTTACTAAATGGCCCTGCTGCCTACAATATGTTGTAGATGGCAGTGACTACTTTGGCTTTTGTTTGGTCCTGCAGTAACTTTCTAATGTGCTAATTTGAAAGGTCACAGTAAGACACACTATAATAGGCCCAAACTGTTATCTTTCCGCAAGCCTCAATAAAATATATCTATATAACTCTATGTGTGTAAAGTTATTTTGCTCCTGCAGTTGTTAAAACCCCATGAAGATACTATGATGAAAGAGCTGTAAGATATATTTACTCCCCTGCATGGCCCATCATGTTGTATTGGGATGAGTATACAATTCTCCCATCTTTGGATGTATCAAAGGGGGAGATTTGGTCATGTCCAAGTATAGACAGGAAATATTGCTAAACAAGGATGATGACTTCTATCGAGGTATCCATCTGACAGGTAGACAGGTAGTGCCGCATGACCTTGCTTATCTCTGTGGGTGGCTGCTTTTTCCATCTGACCATTTATGACACCCAGACTCCTGGATTAAGCAAAATGGCTCTTTTGGTTGTGAAGAAGCCTTAACATTTGGCTATTTGCATTGTGGCAGGGTAGGATAAGAAATGATTGCTGGTGGCTGGATGGGATTGGGAAAAATGTGTCCATTTACATCCCATGGAGGACATGCCCCCATGATGGAAGTCTTTTAATTTTATTTAGATGCTACAGATGCTACAAACAACACAATGAGGTTGATTTACTAAAATTGGAGAGTGCAAAATCTAGTACAGCTCTTCATAGAAACCATGATGATCATGCAGAAAACTCCAGCAATCTGCCCAGAGGGGCAGAAACCCTCAGACTGCAGACTCCTCCTGTAGGACTAGCTCATGCTGCTCTAAGCGTCCGACTACTTATGCGTTCTTCAACCACCTACTGTGCACACCGCCAAGGATTGGCTGAGGCTCCTTAAAAATATTCAGACTGCTCATTTGACTTTCCAGCCCACTCTGATTCTAGAATGTTCTAGAATGCAGGGTGGAACAATCAAACCTGCAGCCTGTGAAACACAAATCAGCCCAAAGCAATCAACAGCTGCTCCAGGACAGCCAAAAAGAAGTAAATCTACCTAACATCCTAGTTGCCTATCTAGGAGGGTCCTATGTTTCCTATGAATCCTTCCCACCAGCTCCCACAGGTGCATTTTTTTTATATCTATATGATGATTTCCTAAAAGCTACAGAAGAACAAATACATGAATACAAGGATAGAGTGTGTCACTGGATCTCACTATAGAGGGGGGAAAAGGGTTATGGGGACAATGTATTATACTATACTGCAGAACCTGCTGTAGTTCTGGTATATTGCCTTTATGTGGAATGATGAAGGGCTAATGGGCTATGGCTAAACTTAGATCTAGTATTTAGATACAATTTAGGAGCACTTTCTTTTAATTTTCTTACCTTTAAAAATGAACACATAACTCATAAAGCCTTCTGTAGTCAGCAATAAGAAATTACTAATTGACACTAAAAATCATGGAAACGGGCTTGGCATTAAGCTGTAACATGCTTCTGGTGCTGAAACAGTTAATTTGTTCATTGGTCAGGAAATATGCACAATTTCTGTAGTGAGGATAATATGACACAGTCTATACCAAAGTGTGTGGTTTTTGGATCAATACTGTTTGGAGGTGTATAGAAAGACTGAACTTGTTTGCCTAGCTATTAATAGGACTGTGCAATACAGGGACATCAACAAAGAAAATTAATGGATGCTTTCTATTAACTCCGAAATCCATGTGTGTTAATACCAGAAAAAATAGAACTGATTTAAAGTGTCTTGGAAGATATAGTACACATCAATGTAAATATTATTAAAGATGGTTAAAAATTAGAATATAATTTCATATAACTGTCTGCCAATTACTTATTAAAAGCCAAGGACCCTAGTATGCTTTATGCAGAAAAACATGCTATAAATAATATTTTAGCTTTTGGCTACCCGCAACTGGCAAAATTTGAATCATAAGGTCATGTTGACATGAACGTACTTAAGTATACACCTATGTGAGGGCCTTGTTTACTCGCTTCAGATACACAGATGCTCCGTGCATCTGTGTTCAGGCAGCCCCCTATGTATCCACTGGAATGCAGTGGCTGCATGGACACATCTGCTGCTCCCAATCTGACATCCTTGGTGAAGGTGTGTGTCCCCAAACGCACACACTGTGACATCGGGGACACGCACTACACACACCTGTGTCTGTGCCGCCACTGCATCCCAATAGACAAGAATGGGACTGTCAGGATTTGGATGCATCCTGTGTGGGCAAACATGGCACTCTTATGGGTGTACGCTTAACTACGCCCATGTGAATGAGGCCTAACAAGGACCAGTGCACATTTCCACAGTCAAATGTTTGTGTTTGATCTTTCACCAACTGTAGAAGGTACACAAGGGGAAAATGCTATTTTTACCTCTTATTGGTCTTATTACAAATCCCCTTCCATATAAAAGCTCGATGTTTCTAAAGTCCCTTTTTTTTGCGCTTTCTGCATTCTTAACCACTAGCCTACAGGGCACATATACCCCCTTCCTGCCCAGGCCAATTTCCAGCTTTCAGCGCTGTCGCACTTTGAATGACAATTGCGCGGTCATGCAACACTGTACCCATATGAAATTTTTATCATTTTTCTGTGACAGATAGAACTTTATTTTGGTGGTATTTAATCACCTCTGGGTTTTTTGTCTTTTCTTAAACAAACCAAAAGCCACTGAAAATTTTGAAAAAAAAATGTTTTTCTTAGTTTTTGTTATAAAATTTTGTAAATAAGTGATGTTTCTCCTTCACTGATGTGCGCTAATTAGGCTGCAGTGATGGGCACTGATAGGCTGCACTGGTAGACACTGATAGGTGGTACTGATGGGCACTGATTAAGAGGCACTGGTAGGTGGCAGTGATGGGCATTGACAGGCATCACTGATGGGCACTGAATGGCAGCACTCATATATGGCACTGATAGGTGGCACTGTTAGGTGGCACTGACTGGCACTGACAGGTGGCACTGATGCACACTGATAGGTGGCACTGACTGGCACTGATAGGTGGCACTGACTGGCAGCACTGATAGGTGGCACTGACTGGCATTGATAGGTGGAACTGAATAGCACTGATGGGTGACACTGAAAGGCAGCTCAGATGGGCACTGATATGTGGCATTGATGTGCACTGGTAGGCACTGAAATGTGGAATTGATGAGCACTGACAGCTGGCACTGATGGACACTGACAGGTGGCACTGCTGGGGCTACACAGATCATCAGGGCACACTGATCATCAGTGCCCTGATGGTCAGTGTACATGTCCCCTCCGAGGAATGCCGATTACCGACAGCGCACCGCCGATCACCACGCTGAGCTCTCCAGAAGCCGCGCATGCGCGGTTAGAATGGGAGGACATCATATGATGTCCTCCCAGAACGAGAGAGAAACCGCCTTGCGCCCGTCATTGTACTATATGGCGGGCGGGAGGTGGTTAAAGCAGTACTACACTCAAAAACTTACCAATTCTTAGATGTGATGGCTGCATTAGTTTTTTTTAGGCTTACTATCTTCTATTTTCATCTGGTGATCCAACACACAAATCTATTGTTTTTCAAAAGCTCAAGCTCCCCAGCAGAGTGTATCAGTTTACATGGGGATAAACTATTTAACACTGGCAGGAGTGGAAAAATGATCGGCTTTTATTTATTTGTGTAAAACCTTTATCCCAAAAGGAAGAAAAAACTATTTGCTGTAACTGATTATAAAGTGTGAGCCAGAGTTTTCCTTCAATTAGTTAGTGTATTTACAGTAAATCTGCTAATACATTAAACACCCACTTCCCGGACTGACAATGCTGCTGTCTGATGTGCATCCTGTGCTCCTTCATCCAGAGTTGTGTCCCACTAATACAGGAGATGTGTTACTGGTCAGATCAAAAGCTGAAAACAGAAGGAAAAAGCCAAAGGAAAGAAAACTGATGCAGCCAACACATCTAAGGATTGGTAAACTGCAATATAATGCATTTTTGGTTTTGGGTTTAATATTGCTTTAAGAATCTTTCTATATACTTTTCTAATCTAGAAGGACAAATCTAGAGAATATGGAAGAAAGGAGACACTGGCCTTCCAGAAGGTGACTTGTTGGCTGAATTGCATGGGAGGTGTTGGATCAGATTTTTAAAGTTCAGTTACAGTAGCAATCACCAGTGAATTAGTAATCTCAGAAAGTTTCCACAATGTGATTAAGTTGTGGCATTTTGTTAGAGTACAAGTAGCAGAGCTGAGAGAATGAAAATCTTCATTGTGTTAGGTCAAATAGAAAAAAAAAATCTGATGATGAAAAAGGTAGTCAGCGTTACCTGGAAAACTGCCAAACAGCTAGAAGTATATAGTGTAGGTGTGCTGCTTTCTTTCACCTCGTTCTACATATGGACAAAAAAGAAATGTCAAATCAAAGCCATGGAAAGTATATGAAATGTACTTGTTACAACACTAAAGATGTTATAAAAGGCAGATATAAAAGACACGAATGAATGCAGGTCTGTCTGTATTCAATATCATTCAATGTATTTTTTAAATGCAGGCTATGTAAGTTCCTGAATTTCACCATCCTGCAGTTCTGTACAGCAGGGCTGGAGTGTGGGAGGAGGAGGCAGCACAAGGAACCAATTAGTCACTGTTCTGCTGCTCCTTTTATTGTCCAGTAACAGGCTGAGGCAGGTGGGGGTAACCTGGGCTCAGAGAAAGTGGGTTGAAAGATGCTGGTCATCAGACTGAGGACATCTAGTGGGAGAAAAAAAAGTGCTGTGTGAGGAATTGAAAGTGAATATGATAGCAAATTATTTTTTTCAATTTTTTATTGGGCTATTTATTTTGATCTTGTTATTTTTGGCTGGAGTTCCGTTTTAGGTATTGCAATGATTAATGAATTGCTACATGTGATAATATTTGAGAATTCTGTTGTTCTTTTAACTGAATTTCACTTGCCTTTAAAGCTTAAAGCGGATCTTTACCCTCCCCCCACCTTCTTTTGACACAAAACCCCTGCTTACCCTGCTTAGGTGTCTTCTACATAGTTTAGATACTCACCTACCCAGTGGATATAGTGTTGTTCTTCTCTTCTTTTATGCTACCCCTCAGTCACCGCCACCATGTTTTTGTGAGATGTCATCTGGGAGGCTGCGGACTCTTCTGGGTTCAGCTGGCAGGCCTCCTCATGATGCTCCGCTTGGCACACACCTCCTCCTTCTTTACTGAATAAAAGACTAAGCCTCCTGAGATATATGATATGTGTAGCACTACACCCTTAGGAGGCACTGGGTTTTGGGTTCCCCTAAGCACGGCACAGCCAAGCAAGATGCATTTTCCACACTTGCACATCCAAAGACAGTAAACAGTTCATTTTTGTTTTATTAGGAGATTGAACTTGGATAAGGTAAAGGGGTTATGGGATGCCCAATGTGATTGAAGAAATAGCAGAATGAAGGTGTTTCCTGCTCTAGCACACTTAGGACTTACAGTCCTTAGTAAAGTAATCCCCTTCTAGGAGCTCGGTGTCTCCTGAGTGGATTTCTAGTAATATGACAATGTGTAGGAGTTCTTGGTCCCCTTGGTGTAAAGAATACAAGCCCACCTGGCTACGGTATCTGATCCCAGGACAAAGGATTGGGTAAGCTATGAACTGTCCCTGAAGACTTGCTAGAACTTGCATCCAGCAGACCTCTCCCTTCTAGGCCCTGGGGGTATAGAGGTACTCACAGTGTCCTTGTCCTGCAGCTGTGGATAGAACTGCTTGCAGGCCTTCTAGCTGGGCTGCTTCCTCTTCAAGCTTTGCAAGCTGTACTTCCCCAGTGGAAGGCAGGGCACAGGAGCTCCCTCTTTCAGCTTCTCTTAAGCTTCCAGCCTCCAGCCTGGAAGCAGAACCCCCCTCCTCTGGTGCTCCCTCCCAGGCCACACAGCAACACCTCTCAGCAATCCATCTTCCACCTGACTTCCCTGATAGCATTATTCTCTCACATTTATGGGATATTCTACCACACTACCAGGGCCCCTTAGCCTGGGATTGCTCAGACTCCCATGAATATGCAGATTTAGGTCTATACCCTTCTGCCCACTGGCTTCTGGATGTTTCCATGAACCTTCAGAGCCAGTTGGAGTCCCAACATGCTGCTTCATCCAGCCTGACCTCACACTGAACCCACAGTAATTCAGGCTCACTCACTACCATGAGCCAAAAAACAACTTTACCTTACACTAACAGCACCTAGTGGGCGATATACATGCATATCCTGGGAAGCAAAGAGAGCACAGTGTACGTAATTTGCCTACGCAAGTGCTGTACATGAGGTGGTAGCCTGCAGATTTTCTTTAAAAAAAAAGGTAAAGAAAAAAAAAACTGCTATCTGTGTAGAGGGGAGCATGGGATGATTGCTTTCAAAGCAAAGATCCACTTTAAATGGGTAGTAAACTAATTTAAAAAAATGTGTCCCCTCTCAGGCTCATGTCATATTGTGCTACTATGCACCGCATACTAGCACATTATGACAGACTTACCAATAAATCAGATCCCTTCAGCGGTGCGCTGTCACTGCTGACAGGGATTCCATCTTCACTCACTCTTCTTTCTGGGTTTGCGAGTTCCCGATGTATGAATGGCCGAGCCATGATGATGTCACTCCAGCGCATGCACATAAGAGTTACAGTTGCGGCACAACACTCTCATTGGATGGCACACTTGAGTGTGCCATCCATTCAGAGCACAGTGTGCATGAAACGGTGACATCACTAGATACTACACATCTTAAAAACACACATTTGGGAGATATTCACTGTACCTACAGGTAATTATTGGTTTACCTGTAGGTACAAATTTAAAAGCAGAGTTTACTAATGCTTTAAGATAATTGTAGCCTTTAGCCCTGGTTCACATATATGCGACCGTGCGGGACACGTTTTGGCGGGCATGAGAGCCCAATGGACTCCCGTGCCCTATGACATGCAGGGAAGAAGTTCTTGCACTTCTTCTGAAAATGCAGCCCGCATGGGAACCTTGGTTCCCAGTACGGTTGCGTTTTCCAGTGCGGACGGCGTGCCATTAGAACTAATGGCATCTGCCCGCGGGTCCGCATTCCTCTGTGTGGGTGGTGCGGCTGCACGGATTTTCGTGCGGATCCACAGCGGCACCACCTGCACATATGTAAACCAAGCCTTATAGCTTTTGCTTCAGTTCCATCCCATTAGTGGATCTCTGGATACTTCTAAACACCTGGTCAGTCTGTCACTCACTTGGAAGTAAATGCCTCCAGCTGCCTATTCTAGTGAATCCTCCTTCTCACTTCCCTGGGCCTTTGCTTGCAATAGAAATGCCTGCAGATGAAACCATCAATAACAAGTTATTAACTGTACATGGCTAATAATACTAATTAAAATAATGAGTATTTATGAAAAGGCATCCTCTGCTGCTGTAAGAACTTCACATATCACACCCACTGCATACAATATATTTTATATATGAAAGGTCATTCAGTCCTATAAAGATATTGACTGTCTCGGAAGCAATTATGCAAATCTGTAATATCCACTTGATTACATATTCATTGTAGTGATGTGTATTATGAGTCACATTCAATTCTATGCAAATTAACATTTATTGCTCATTATGATAGTATGTTGCTACAATCTTGACAGGACAGTACTAACTATTCAGTATTTATCTCTGGTTGTGGTGCATAAGCTTTTGTCCGTCTCTTTGCTTTGGGATTTAACGTTACATTAATGCCATTAGCGGATATGTAATGACAAATACATGTCAGAGAATAAAGTATAACTTCAAAATATATGTCAGTATAGTGATGCCTCATGAAAAAGATGTCATAAATGTATTTGCAGATTTAAATACAGGTCACCGCAAAGTGATAATTATCACCATATGGCTCTCTATCCATAATAGCACCAATAAGGCATCAATCAGTGCTAAAAGTACTTAGACATTACAGAAATGTCTCTGAGCTCAAATAAGAGGTAGGAAAACGGAGGTTCTTTGTGCCCATTAAGCACAGAAAGATAGATTATAATTTATAGGCAATACCATATTCAGCTTTTTCTGTTTCAAGCAGACCACCAGGTAATCAGCTAAATTCATAGTTAAAGCAGCATTAAATCCAAAAGAAAACATTTATTATATTATAGCTTACCAATTCTTAGATGTCATGGCTGCGTTCAGTTTCTTATTTAGCCTTTCTTTCTATTTTTATCTGGCAAGTCTGTTTATTTTTTTTTTAAATGTCTTCTTGCAGTTATA